GAGGGTGACGGTTGGGTGGGGTTGGGGTGTCCAAATGGAGTGTGGTGGGTTGTGTCGTCCTCCATGGAATCAAGGAAATTGAATTCGGTAGGAGTGACGGGGTGAGAATAGGGGTAGGTATTTTCATCAAAAATAACATTACGAGATATGATGATTTTGTGAGTGAGAAGATCAAGGAATCGGTATCCCCGTTGGTTGGACGGGTACCCTAAGAAGACACATTGGGAAGAGCGAGGTGCGAGTTTATGAGGGGCGATGGCGGATATATTGGGATAACAGAGACAACCAAAGACACGAAGGTGAGAGTAGGTGGGTTTGGAACCATAAAGGACTTCATGGGGAGTGTGATTTTGAAGAGTGGTGGTGGGTAAGAGGTTGAAAAGATGGGAGGCCATGTGTAGAGCCTCAACCCAGAAGGTGGGTGGGAGTTGGGCCTGAAAAAGAAGAGATCGCACCGTGTTATTTATGGTGCGAATGGTCCGTTCAGCACGACCATTTTGTTGGCTAGTGTGTGGACACGGGAAGCGGAAGATTATACCCAAGGATTCAAAAATGTTACGAAGGGGCGTGTTCCTGTATTCAGTTCCATTATCACACTGAACAGCCTTAATAGTAGCATTAAACTGATTTTTCACAAAGGCAATAAATGTGTGAAGATGAGAACATGCATCAGATTTATGTTTAAGAGGAAACACCTACAAAAAATGAGAATAATCATCCAAGAGTACCATATAATGCTTATACCCAGTAACACTAATAACAGGCGATTGCCACAAATCAGTATGTAAAAGCTGAAAGGGAAAAGTAGAAATACGACTCGATGACTCAAAGGGAAGACGAACATGTTTCCCCAACTGACAAGCATGACAAAGAGAGTGTTGTAAATGTTTAAAAGACATGGAGGAAAGACTAGGGATTCCAAGAAGGACGGAAAGGCTAGGGTGACCTAGACGACGGTGCCATTGCTCCGAGTCACCGGTGACAACGTTGGGCTTGGGCGGTGGACTGGCTCATGGGATAGAGAGGGCCGGCATTATTGGACCGATGAATCACGGTTCCCGTCAGCATATCCTTCACAGAAAAACCAGTGGAGTCAAATTCAATAGAGCAATTATTGTCACGGGTGAACTGGCGAACAGAAATAAGGTTGTGGATAATGTGGGGGGAGACAAGGATATTTTTTAAGTTAAGGGGAGGGGATGTGGGAAATTTATAGTTACCTATAGTCGTAGTGCGGACTTTGGAACCATTACCTACAGTGATATATGATTAAGAATTTAATGAATGAGTACGAACATGAGAAAGAGTACCTGAGTTCGAGGCTATGTGGTGAGTGGAGCCGGTGTCCATATACCAATTTGGATCACGGAGGCTGAGGGTGTCAAAATTATGGGCTAGGGCAGTGGGGGTGTGGAGACCGGTGGGATGGC